CTGTCCAATTTTTAGTCCTTTTCAGACAACTGTGCGTCCGAGCTTTTGATAGTTCACTTAGCGGAAAGTTACTTCTCGCGAATGCTAACATTGCTGCTGTTTAAACAGTTTTCAAGGTGGGGTCAGATCTTGATATTTGTAAGTTCTATTTAATGTACTCATCCACATACTCGAATAAACTTGAAGTGTATCTATTTAGATTGATGCTTTTAGTGTTCTGACACGCCTTTTTCACACTTGTCCAGAGGTTCTAGTTTATCAATCGTGTGATGAGGAATGAAGTTTGCAACCAAGTGGACACTGGGAGGTGTTAATGCAGATCAACTGGGTCGCTCGCAACAATGAGGTGGCAATCGTCTTTAAAGACTTTGTGTACGCATCTGAGCCGCAACAGTAATATATATTGCTTCCACTCTGAAATAGAAACACATTACGCAATGATTTTGCTTGTACTCCAATCACATGATGAAAATGTAGCCTGTAGCCTTTAAACCGGGTTCAGATCTTGGTATTTGTAAGCTCACTTTAGCGCACTTTTCCACATACTCTAATAAATAAGCTTAAAGAGAAGTGGAAATAGACAATTGAGCCTGAAGTGCTAGCCTCAGTTGGCTCAAGCCTACTAATGCAGGTTGTGCTCTTCAACTTTGTGCTTCTATCTATTGGGTGCTTTACTTTTGCATTTACAGTAAGTTGCATGAAATTATCCTTGACGGTCACTTACAGTTTAAATGGGATTTTGGGTAGTAGAATCACATATCTTAAGTGATATTCAAAGAGGATGGAGCTGTTTTCCATTCCTAAATATTAACTAGTGAACCTTACAGCATTGCAGGAATGTAAGTATTTGAGTGCGATGTTAGTGAACGTTTCACATATCCTTGCGGTATCGTTACAAATTCGTTTTTTCCCCTTACAAGCTTGATACAGGGTGTACGAAGGGAGAAGTGTGAATGTCGATCCATTTGGAATCCCAGCCACCTTTGCCGCTGCTGTCGTAGCAGACTATGCAATGGCGAAGGATGTTGTTGTGGACAATCTTAGTGAGTTTTTCGCACCTTTATAATGATTTCCATCATTACATTGCTTCTATTGCCATCAGAATACGTTGTCCTGTCATTTATATCTTTATACCGCAGTGATATTTTTATTTGCCCTGAATTTCTGCGCCCTCACAAAGTTTAGTTTAGTCAAGCCACAGATTTTCTTAATCCTACATTTTGCTTAGATTGTAAGCGTTCATCTAGGTAAGCAGTGATGCACGCCAAATTAAGACATCCTCCTACTCAAATAAGAATTTTTTAATTCTCCAACACGTTAACAAACCTGGGTTTATTTGTCGACAAGTTTTTTGCTTCCTTATTTGTTGAAAGAATGTGAGATTCACGTGATTTGGTTTTGGCTCTTTGATCATTTTCTGACACATTCAGTGTCAGGTTTTCAGCCAAGTGTCGAGGACTACTATCCAGGTGTTTTACAGTCCTGATTTGATTTTTTAACTAAGTCAATCCTTGCTGGAGATAACTAAAATTGCTGCTCCCCCCGGTACATGGTCAACCTGCACTACCTTTTACTGAA